TAGGCTAGAAGACATCTCTCACTAAATATCTATATCTTGTGTTCATTGCATTCCACGTTTGACTTTCTACAACACTTCAACAATATGATTGGAAGTAAGTGATTAAATTCTGCATTATATTACATGCATAATATTCCACAGCACATGGTAAAGTAGCATTTTGATTAACAAAACCTTCTTCCAGTGAGATTCTAGTCTTTGAAACACCCTCATTTAGATTTGACAGTGGCTCTTGATTAACCATCTTGATCAGGAACACAACAGGCAAAACTATCATAAAAGCCGCAAACAGTCAAAGATATTGAAAGTCTAGTTCAATTGATACCAGATGAGAAGATCTTATTGAATATATAGAGCTTTACACGTTTGAATGAATTTCAAATATACAAAAAGATAAGACTACATGTAACAGAAGGATAAATGCTATCTCTTAGCTGATTCAGATGAGATGCAATCTTCCTCTTCAATTATCTGACTCGGAAAAGAATCTATATGGTTAATTGCCCCCTGCAAGCTGATGGTGAGTGGACGGACCATGAGCTTGTCTCGGAGCATGCAAAACCTGGTAGTGGATAAACCTTTGGTGAAGATATCAGATGACTGTGATGTAGTAGAGATGTATCTTGCAAGTATGTCCCAGTTGAATATTTTCTCCCGTATAAAGTAATAGTCGACCTCTATATGTTTTGTTCTAGCATGGAAGACAGGATTAGAAGACAGGGAGAGTGCACCAATATTATCAATCCATAGGCATGGAGGAGAGTGTAAAGGAAAGCCAAGTTCTCTGAATAGCATGCAGATCCAGTAGAGTTCAGTGACTGTGAGAGCCATGGACCTATATTCTGCCTTAGTGCTTGAGCGGGCAATGACTGGTTGCTTCTTTGCCATCCAAGAAATTAAACAAGGGTCAAGAAATATGCAATATCCAGTAGTAGACTTGCGATCATTTGGGCTTCCAGCCCAATCGGAATCACAGAAACCATGTAAAGCAAGAGAACCTTTGCTGAAGTAGAGACCATGTTCAAGAATGCCTTTTAAGTATCGAAGGACTCTCTTAGTTGCTGTAAGGTGAACAGAAGTTGGACAGTGAAGAAACTGACATAATTGGTTCACACTATAAGCAATGTCTGGTCAGGTTAAAGTGCAATACTGAAGTGCTCCCACAATGTGTCTATAGGCAGCTGGATCAGATAGTGATTCCTCATCGTTCTTGGACATTTTCCCACCTAAGGTGCAAGGTGTAGAAGCAGGCTTAGCACCAATCATTTTTGTTTCATGTAGGAGGTCCAAGATGTATTTGCCTTGATGGAGATGCATATTATCGGCAGTGCAGCAGACTTGAATGCCAAGAAAGAATGAGAGAGCGCCTAGATTTTTTATTGCAAAGTCTTGGCTGAGGTGCTGAAAGAGATCAGCTACTGCATCAGAAGAGTTACTCACCACCAAAATATCATCAACATAAATTAAAATGAGCATAGTAATAGAGGATCGATGTAGATAAAATAAGGAGGTGTCAACATTTGATCCTGTAAAACCAAGCTCTAAGAGACTTTGAGAGAGGCGCCTGAACCAAGCCCTTGGTGCCTGTTTTAGGCCATAAAGGGACTTGTGGAGTCTGCAAACATGGGATGGAAAGTCACTATGTTCAAACCCTTTAGGTTGCTCCATATAGATTTCTTCCTTAAGGTGTCTATGCAAAAATGCATTGGAAATGTCTAGTTGTTATATGATCCAGCCATGATGAACAGCCAAGGCAAGCACCAATCGAATGGTGGCAAGCTTTATAACTAGACTAAAAGACTCATGAAAGTCCACACCATGCTCTTGATCAAACCCTTTGGCTACAAGCCTTGCTTTGTACCTTTCAATGGTGCCATCAGCCTTTTGTTTGAGTTTAAACACCCATTTATTTCGAATGATGTGTTTATTAGAAGGTCTAGGACATAAGGTCCAAGTGTTGTTATCAATGAGAGCATTGAACTCAAGTTGCATGGCTGCCTGCCAATTGGGATCCTTGGTAGCTTGTTTGTAGGTTTTTGGTTCAGAAGGAAGTAGAACTGAAGATAGAGCTCAGATTGGGTATCTAGTGGAGTAGTAAAGCTTGTAATCAAGAAATTGTTTTGGCTTGAGGGAGTTGGTGTGAGACCTGGTGATTATTTGTCTCGAGGGGGAGTTATGAGAGGCAGGTGAACTAGAATCTGGAGCTGAGTTATTAGTAGGAGAGAAATCTGCAAAAGCTTCATCAAAAGGTGAGTGAAAAGAAGAATTAATTGAACTAGAGGGAGAGGAGGGTTGTGATGGCAGCAGCAGAGTCCAATGAGATATCTTCTAAGGGTCGAGCAGCAACAGTGAAGTTTGGAATGGAGAGATGAGGAATGGTATTTTTTGGTGGAGGAGCATCTGATTTGGAGTTGGAAGAGGCTTGAGCAGCAGGAAATGTATTTTCATCAAAGACTACATGTCGAGAGATATAAATATGACCAGTTTGAATATCCAAACATCTGTAGCCTTTTTGGTTAGTTGCATAACCAATGAAAATGCATTTTTTGCTTCTATAGGAGAGCTTGTGTGTAGAGTATGGTAGAAGTAAGGGAAAACAAGCACATCCAAAAGTCTTTAGTAAAGTGTAATCTGGTTTGGTCTGAAACAGAAGTGAGTAAGGGGATTGATGGCCAAGGACAGGTGTGGGCATTCGGTTTATAAGGTAAGTAGCTGTGAGGAAGGCATCAACCCAATGTGTGGATGGTAAGTGAGATTGTGCTAAGAGAGCTAGAGCTATTTCAATTAAATGGCGATGTTTCCTCTCTGAGATGCCATTTTGTTCAGATGTATAGGGGCATGTTTGTCTGTGTAGGATTCCTTGTTCTTGTAAGAATTTTTTGAAAGAATTGGATAGATATTCTCCTCCATTATCGGTTTGAAGTTGCTTGACTTTAGAGGAGAATAGATTTTCAACTAAACACTTAAACTTAAAGAAACACACAGCCACATCCGATTTTTGTTTAAGAGGAAACAACCAAGAAAACCGAGAATAATCATCAATAAAAACCACATAGTATTTACAGCCACTGAGTGACAATACCGGAGAAGTCCATACATCAGAATGAATTAATTCTAAAGGGTGACTAGAGTGATGTTCAGAGAGGGGAAATGGAAGTTTATGGCTTTTAGCCAGTTGACAAAATTCACAAATGTGCTTCAGTTTTTATGAGCCTGATATAAAGATGAGAGCATCATGAGTGAGGTGGCTAAGAACTGATTCTAATGGATGACCCAATCGGGCATGCCAAGTGGTAGCAGGGGCTATGACACCTAGGAAAGCTGTAGAGGAAGAATTTGAGGCCGAGTTGTGCTGCCTCTTATTGGAATTGAAGGGCTGAAAATAAACTGGGTAGAGTCCTACTCTACTCGGACCTTGGAGGAGTATCTTGTTGGTCTGCAGTTCCTTCACAACAAAAGAGGTAGCAGTGAGTATAAAATAGCAATTGTTATCTTGACAAAGCTGTTGAATGGATAAGAGGTTAGATGAAGCTCGAGGACAGTGTAAAACATTTGACAAAAGCAAAGAACTATTATTAGTTTTCATAATGGGAGAACCGGTGTGATTGATAAGCAAACCTCCCCCATTGCCAACTATGACTTGGGTTGGACCTTGATATGGTTGCTGATTCAAGGTGAGATTGTTAAGGGCTGAGGTGACATGAGTGTTGGCACCACTGTCAAGGAACCAAGGCTGATCTTCCTCATGAGTAACATGTGTATGAGCAGCCATCGCAGCCAATTGTGCAGGTGGATGTCTTCCTTGGTAAGAAAAGTCCATCCGGTGGTAACAGTCCAAAGCTTGATGATTTGTTTTCCCACAAATCTGACAGGGAGGTTTGGAGTGAGAGAAGAAGGTGTTGTTTGAGGTGGTTGGTCCTTTTCCTGTTGGTGGAATAGAGAAGTTGGGGTTATTGGGTGGATGAGCAGAGAAGTTTGAGGTGTTTGAGGAGTGTGGTCCAGTAGGTTTGTTGGCAGAAAAAGGCTTTGGTTTGTGATTGTTATAGGGTGGCTTAGATTTATGACTGAAAAAGGCAACATTGTGGGTATCTGGTGGGATAGATTTGTGTTGGAACTCAAGTAGTTGTTCATAATTCAGCAACTCAGTTTGAAAATCATCAAAGGTGATGGATGAGTCTCGGGTTGCAAAATTAAGGGGGGTAATGAATGGGTGATAAGCAGGATTAAGACCACCAACAACATAAGATATCAGGTCCTTATCATCAACAGTTTTTCCCACAGTTGCAAGTTGGTCAAACCAATTTTTGGCACTAAGGAGATAGTCAGTACACGACTTAGCTCCTTGATTAAGTGTCTGCAATTGTCTCTTAAGATGAGAGATTCGAGATCTAGAATTAGGTGCAAACCTGTTTGCTAGAGTGGTCCAGACCTATCGAGAGGTATTTTGCCCATAGACAGACAGTAGATAAGACCTTCTCGGTGAGAGTGGCATTGATCCATGCCAAAATAAATTGGTCCTTTTTCTACCATACCATATAATCAGTGGTGATTTCTGAGGTCGTTTTGCCTTCAGAATCAGTGGCAAACTTTGGAGGACACAGCTCAGAGCCATCCACAATGCCAAGTAAATCATGGCTTCTTAGGAGTGGGGTGAACTGAGTGGTCCAATTAAGATAATTGGATCCATCTAATCTGACAGAAACTAAGGGAGTGATATTGGGAAAAGAGAAGGTAGCGGAAGCCATTAGGATCAAGAATGGTGTTAGCCAAATGAGGCTCTGATACCAAGTCAAAGATATTGAAAGTCTGGTTCAATTGATACCAGATGAGAAGATCTTATTGAATATATAGAGCTTTACACGTTTGAATGAATAAATGTAACAGAAGGATAAATGCTATCTCTTAACTGATTCAGATGAGATGCAATCTTCCTCTTCAGTTTTCTAAGTCGGAATAGAATCTATATGGTTAACTCAAACAACTTTGAGAATCTCCTGAATCTAAAGTTTCCTTCGGAGCAGGAGAGGAAAGGAGGGAGGATGGAAGGCTTTGAGACTGTTTAAAAAAAAACACATCGTACTATATGTTTCACAGTATCAACAACAAATTTATAGCTTAAAAACCTTAAAACTCTCGACAAGTTACACAGACTTCGCATAAAATATAACAAATATTAGAATAATATTACAAATTCCTTGTATACGAAATTATATATATATGCAACAATCTCTACTTATAATAATGAAACCAAGTGTTTCTTTTATCGAATAAGTGTTAGATGCCTGTCCAAAAATTAATATTATGCTATATATATGAAATAATTTCAAAATAAACTAATAATAATTATCATAAGTTAAATAAAAAAAAAGAAAATAAATAAATATGAAATAACATATTAATAGACAATGGGATAATGTAGGATATCAATGAGTTGACAATAAAATATATATGTATGTATACCTGCAATTCTTGGGCACTCTCCAAGAATTTTTTTTTTCTGCTTTCTCACTCGGAGGCAACTGCATAAAACTTTTCCAATCCTCAAGAACAAGATTAAGATCTTGAACTTTGCTCTCTAAACCAAAACAACAATTTGCATGCACGGTGGAAACAAGGTTAAAATCTTTACTAAGCTCACAAAATCCACCAAAATATGCTGTGTCGAGAAATTTAATTGTGATTCCAGTCTCGGAAATGCGTGAATTAAATTTGATTTTGTTAAGGACATCTTGGTCATGTAAGCCTGGATATGTTAATCTAGAAGAGTACCAAAACTTGTAAAATTCAATCGTTTTATAGTTTGTTTTAACATAGTTAAATCCTCCATTTGGTGAATTGCGTAAATCGGATGGGTTGCCTTTGAAGTTATCGCATGCAATTTGAAAATCTGCATCTGGGTAAAAATGTGGAAATGGATCTTGAAGCCACACAATGTCAGCATCCTGTGTAGTGCAAACAAAAACTATTAATTAAGGACGGAATGAGGAATTTAATTTAGAGGGAGCAAATGAAATAATATAAAATAGGAAAAAAGTTAATGAATGGGGTTAGATATAATCATATAAGAACGTTAACACAAATACAACGTGGTAACCAAAAAAAAAAAAAAAATTTTATTTGTTTTTTTTATTAAAAAAAAATCGAGTGGGGTCACCAGCCCCCACTATCATAACTGGACCATGTTAACAATTAATTTTATATACAACTGTCACACAAAAAGATTTAAGAGGACAATAATTAACATTAAAGTAGAGTTTTATAATGTGTATTGCAAGAAAATAATGCCATGTGATGCCAACTTGTATGCATTGAAATTATCAAGAGAAACAGTATATTATACGTATTGTTAAAGTAAAACTAAGATCGATGTGACGGCGTATAAAAAGGAATTAGCTTTATATATTCAATATGTTCTGCTATGAAGCCTTAACTAGTTGGATTTGTTTAACATAAAAGGAAAAGAAGAAAATGAAAAATTAAACTGATGCATTTAAAAATCCAAACAACTCACGTGCAACAAATAAATAAATATACAAGCATTTTCGTATATTTCTTTATAAATAAAAAAACTTTAAGTCTTAATAAATAAATAAAAAATACAAAGTACAAATTAAGTTCTCATACAAAGAAATGTATGTAGCATGAAAGAGTTAAAAACAGAAATAACATAAAATTAAAGTAAATGATATTATACATTATATGATCACCAAATCAATTTATAGAAGTAAATTTTTATCAAGAGTTATACTAAGTCAAACAAATTACTTCAGCATGACCAAATCTCAATCAAAAGTCATAGCATAACAATAAGGCGGACTAAATGCCTCATTTGTAGGTTAAATAAATGTCTTGGGTAGATCGTATTACAAGCATATGTCTTAATACTAAGCTTATTAACTTCGGTATGACTAAACATTAAATTAAATTAAATATCTCTTAATCCAAGTTTTTAACTTCTTCTCTAATCTTCAACAATCTTTAACTAGCCATACGCACACATTTCATAATGTCAACAAATTAAACTACGAGGTTTTTCTTCTCCAATTTTTACTCTTCTTTATTTTAATGCTTAAACTAGGAAGATCAACTAAATTATTCATCAGACCAAATAAAATAAAGAGCTGGCACCCTTCACATATCCCTCTAATTTAGTTAATATCAAGCAAACCTTTTTTGGTTTACAATTTCATCAGATAATTCTTCTCGTTAAACTTTCATCATAAATCTTTCTATCCTCTAGTTGTCCTTTTTTTTTTTTTTCATATCATTAGTTTTTTAATGGGGAAAAAAAAAAAAAAAAACTAAATTGATGATATATATTAGACTATAAAATGATGAAAAATTAAAAAAAAAAAATTTGTGGCAGGGCATATACCGTAAATACAAAGTTGTAGCCCATCTGAAGGATAGTAGACAAAAGGCGAATTCTGATCCACATCATCTCTAAGTAGTTTGAGGTCATAAAATAAGCTTCAGTACCAGAAAAATCAAAGCCAGAAGTGTTGAGAGCATAGCAATGAGTATGAATCAATTTGCAACGAGCATGCGCCTTTTCATCCAACGATACTACCACTAAATTATCTAAAAATTTACGCGTTCCATTTCCAGTACGAAAACTCTTCAAAAATATATCAAATATAGAATTAGGCTCCGCCCATGCATGATTCATGGTTGTTATGATCACTGTCTTGTCTTTCATTGCAGCTTTTGCTAGAATTGTTTCTAGTTTAGAATCAAAAGGACTTGCCTGCTGGAAAAGAAAAAAAAAAAATCTAATAATATTTTCTTAACTAGTGAAGGTGACTTAATATAATTAGTCAAAAAGATGATTAATGTTACTCTGGCTACAATGTCAAAACTATATTAAAGGCTCTCCGTAAGCTATTGTAAAAACAACGGTGTAGGTCTAGGATTTCATGTGGACCAATAAATATTTATTATCCAAAACTTCCGCTTTATCTTTTAATTAAATTACTGATTTATTAAACTTCGGTTTTCCTTATGATATTTTAGAAACGTTTGTCACGAAACTATATTGAATAACACTTTCTTCCTTCCCCAAGTTTCTTTCCATTTCTTTCTCCTTTTCAATTAATCTCCAATGGTTATGTTGACCTTAGGCATTAGGAAATAAAAGATAAGATAAATATAAGAACAGAAAGTTAAAATTCTTAATATACTCAAACGTTCATCTGTTTTGAATTAAACTTTTGCAAATCCCTTTACATTAGAAATGTAATCATTCCAAGAACAAACATGTTTATATTAAAATTCTGTAACCCCATGCGAATCACAAAACTTTGTCTGTGTATATAACATATTTTCATTCATGAAATAACAATTTAAAGAAGCTTTAAGTTCATGCATAATAAACCAGAAAATCACAACACAGAGAGGATATATATACAGACCTGTGATTTCATTAATGGCGATATAAGATCTTCATAGCTAGGCAAGAACTCGAAAGGATGTGCCGAATGATAAAGAAGCAAGCACGAAAATCCCACCGTCACGAACAAGGAAATTATAACTGCCCTTTGCGTTGTGAGTATATTTGCAGGCTTGTTGATCTCATCAATACTATTGGCAGTTGGTAGTTTTGACATTATTTTGATTGTTTTCTCCTAAATTTCTACCTTTTTCCTCTCTCGGTGGATTCTTCTCTTCTTTTATAGCACATTTCAAAGCAAAGTCAATAACACTATCATGTACTTTAATTAAGTTTTCAAGCCGCCGGTAGAATTAGAAATTATAGAGGGTCTACAAATCGATGTAGCCCCCCATAACTTTTAAGGGCAGAGAGAAGATTAAGAAACTTGAGAAGGAAAAAAACTTTTCAGTGACTTGCGGTTGCTATTCCCTCTATTTTAAGGTTTCTCAGCAACTTGAAGGCAATATATATAAATTGGTAAAAGGTTATATAATTTTTTTATTTATAATATAAGCATATATGAATAAAAACAAACAATTAAATTATTGTATTGGTGTATAGATTTATAGACAATATAGTCCCTGAAAGCTCGTTCAACCCTTCCATTTTGTCTGAATAAGTCAAGAAGTGTCCATGTAGGAAACATCACTGGCTCGTTGTTTCAGAAGTACCCCTCAAAAATGTAAAAAAAAAAACATAAAAAAAACTAAGTTAGCTGCAGTTGATACATGAGCAAAATAAGATGTTTTTATAGTTTGGATGACTCGAATACACGAGCACAATGATATTAAANACAAACTCTAACTTTGAGAGTCGAAAAGTGAATTTTTCACGTAGATAAAATCAAAATAATGATATAAATTGCCAAAGACATGATATTGAAAAAGGGGAGCAAAGTGGCATAAAATTGAATGGTTGGAATTGGACACATCATGTGATGTCTCCAAGACTTGTTCATTTTTCAATCTGTTTAAATGCTCCATTTGTGTTCAATATGTTTAAATGCTCCATTTGTGTTGTCTTTTAGTTTGTGTGGGCATAACTTACCGGATTTGTGGACTCTTACGTGCACTGTCAGATTTCTATTTATGAGCAGAATGTGAATTGATATAAACAATTGAATATAAGTAAAGCTCACTTACAAGCGTTTTCATATAAAGTGATGTAACAAAAAATGGATAGAATAGTGAATATAATGAGTTTGACTTTTTGTTTCACTCTTCTATTCATTTTTTGTCACTTCACTTTGTATGGTAATCTTTATAATTATAATATTATTGATTGAATATATATTCTGATTACAATAATACTAGTCTTACAAACACAAATACAAAAAGGGTTATACAAAGTGACATGACAGATGACATGGCAATGCCATATCATTTGACACGTCATCACTTGCCATGTCATCAATGAATATTAATTTTTTTTATTCTAATTTTCTATTTCTTCTTCTCTATTTCTTTTATTACTTTGTTGTTTCAATTTTAAATTTTTTCAATCTTCTTCTCCATCACTATCTTCTCTTTCGCGCACTTCTCCAGTTCTCTTATCAACTCTTCTCCATCTCCATCGCGCCCTTCTCCCCGTCGACAAACCAAACCCTAACCCTAACCCTAACCACTGAAATTATAGAGGGTCCAGCCCTATTGTTTCAAAGCTTATAAAATCTTACGGAGGAACCAAAAGAGAGAAGTGAACAGAGTGATCGCCGTGGATTCCCTGAAATTCCGTTGCTACCTTTGTCGGAAAAGTGTGAGTCTCTCAATACGGATCCCAAGTTCTCTTTCAATTGAATTTATGTTGACTTTGATTCTAATTGTTCGGGGAAAGTGCTCTGTTTTGTTCTCCATTATCTTACTATCAGTGTCATACTTATATACTTATGTGCATTATTTTTACTTCAACCTTATTTCAGTCATTATTAAGATTCATTCATTGCATTCATTATTCTTAGTCGGTGCTCTTAATTTTTTTTTTCATGGCATCTTAATGAATTGCATGATACTGTTACCATTTGACACTGTTTCTTAATCTTGTATTGCAATTGGGGCCTCTATTAGTCTTTTAACATCAATGAAGAAGCGGTCGAAATTGCCATATCGCAATGTAGCATGCTTGAGACTCTGGATGTACGCTTTTGTCCAAAGGTGAGATTAAACTTGTGTGTATTATTAATGAATTAGTTCTTCATGCGATAGAAGTTTCGTTTATTTAGTGTTCATGAGTGATTATTAAACTTTTTGGGAAGTGGTGTGTGGTTTACTGTTTACTTATTTATCTTTTTTAAGTAGGTATGTTCAATGAGTATGGGGAGGTTACCTGCAGCATGCCACGGTTTGAAGCACATCTTCAGCAGCATGACGCCTTCATAAAAGATAAAATGATGGAAAATTTTGTTTGTTTTACCATTTTCCAGGTAGTGTGTGTATTTCAGTGAGGTGGCAACTAGCTTGATATGTTTGCCGTATGCTTGTCGGGATCTACTATCTATGTTATTGCAAATGGTATCCTCTATTCTGCTGTTCAGTTTTTTTCTTTTTCTTTGATTTTATTATGCTTGTATGGGTACTATTTATACCAGCTGTGGCTGTCCTTGTGTATCAACACAATAAATGTTGTTCTATGTTCATTATCATGTTTGTTATCTGAGCTTTTTTTTCTTGGTGCAAGTTGGTGATTTATTTTGGCATGACAATCGTATCATTGTTAGTCAATGCCTTGAAAAGTTGAAATATAGAAAATGGAATTGCAGGAAATGTGACAAAACTTGAAGTTCTCATTGTTGTGTGCTTTATATTATGAATAACAAGAGAATATTGACAGTTCTCATCGTTGTGTGCTTTATATTTGAATAACAAGAGAAATATTGACTTCTCTTGATATGATATTGCACCCTGATAATAGTGTTAACTTTAGGCAAGTCCCCTTTATTTGTTTTCCTAGTTATTAAATTACCAAATGGACTTCTTATGGATTGATGGAATTGGAAGCTGACAGAAATCACCATGGAAACAATTGATTAGGAGTTATATCTGAGTAACTTTTGAATTTGGATTGATAAGGTATTTATACAAATTAAATATTTTTACTTCTCTTGATAAAAAGTGATTAAAGATGAGCTTACCATAAGAGTTAAGTGAATTAAAATAACACCTCAATAACTGCACCAATCTAATGGTTATAAAGAGGCAATGTTAGCCTATTAAATTTAGTTGATGGTCAAATGTTTCCAGTTGAGTTCATATTCATTCATACCATGATAAGACTCAATATACTGCAAAACTTAACCCTTCCATGTATCAATCTCTCACAAAAGATGATGGAGACTCAAATTGTCACCAAAATTTGCACATAAATTTGTAGTATTGACTCCAACTCTTTAATTTCTGGGTCCAAATTTTTGCTTTCCTCTTCGTCTGCACGTCTATAAGCATCAGCTATAACTTTTCCTTTATTTAAAACTTCAGAAGGGACAGTAGGAGGAGGCTGTAAAGGGAGAGAACATCATGAAACTGAAGTTTGTGTAGACAAGTATAGGTATTCAATAGCTAAGAGAGAACCGAAGAAAGAATGACATGATTTTTTTGTTTGCTTTGAGAGCTAGCTAGTGAATTATTGACTTAGAATCAGACTTTTAAGAAGGCTTAGAAAAAAATGCAAACAAAGCATTACCTATCCAGTGCATTAAGAGCAATTCCAAACTTTGCTTTCATTGATTTCAAAGAAATTTCTCCTTCATTTCTTGACACGCAGAAGCAAAAGAATCCAGATTTCCAAGGCCTTTCAAAAGTAGAGAACTGGGTCAAAAATGGTACTATGATGTAAACAGATTACCCTAAATAAATGCAAAAAAACAAATAATTCTATGTTATAAATATGATTCATTAATTCAATTAAAAAATAATAATATTAATTAAACAATGCATCCAACACTGAGAATTGTGGGTTTAATTCTGAGCTACAGGTAGAGTGAGGCCAGAGACGAAGTAATAGTACTGGACAATAATTGAAGCTTGTTAAAGCCATAATTGTGTGGTCCTAACAAACCTTTTTATCAATTAGTGTCGACTCTGCCCAAAAAAGGTTTGTTACTCATCACCTTGTTTTTAAGACAGAGCCCTATGTTGCTTGTCAAAAGCTTCAGACGGCTTTGTGGTTATTATGAAACCCATATTTTCTTTTGCATCATTCCCATGATGAAACTGAGACTTCTGCAACCTACAAATTACATTTTATTTGTCAATTACAAATAATTAGTCGAAATCTATACCAGCAGAAATCATTATAGACAAAAATGAAAAAGGTAAAAGACTCACCCACGTGATGGATTTCTTACACAAATTTTCCTAGAACCATTTTCCAATTGGTATTTGCAGCATTACCTTGACAATTTCTAATAGAATTCCCCTGCAACAATTAGAAAGGGAATAAGTTAATTAACAGTCACTGCACCTCAATTAACCATGTGTGCACAAAAACGATTCCAAAAATCTGCACCTCAATTGACAATGGCGAAGGTCACAGCGGAGATAACGGCGGAATTTCGGAGAATCCACGCGGTCACTCTGTTCACTTCTCTCTTTCGGTTCATCCGTCAGATTTTAGACGCTTTCAAACGACAAGGTCGAACACTCTACGATTTTGGTGGTTAGGGTTCTGGTTTCGTTTGTCGACAGGAGAAGGGAGCGATGGAGAAGAAGAGCTGATAAGAGAATAGAGCGATGGCGAAGAGCAATGGAGATGAAGAGAGCGATGGAGATGGAGAAGAGCTGACAAGGAACAAAGCAATGGAGAAGAGCTCGAAAGAGCGAGATGGAGAAGAGCGCGAAAGAGAAGACAACGATGGAGATGAAGAGAGCGATGGATGAAGAGAAGAACGATGGATGAAGAGAGCGATGGAGATGGAGAAGAGTTGACAGAGAGAAGAGCGCGAAAGAGCGTATGGAGAAGAGTGCGAAAGAGAAGTCAGCGGTGGAGAAGAAGACTGGAAAAATTGAAAATTGAAATAATAAAGTAAATAAGGAAAGGAAAGAAGAAATAGAAAATTAGAATAAAAAATTAATATTCATTGACGATGGGACAAGTGAACTCACATCAATTGTATAATCTCTTTGTATTTGTGTTTGTAAGATTAGTATTATTGTTCGAATTATGTGGTCACATGAAATAGACATTACGTATTTGGATTTGGGAATGAGACATCACATGAAACAATTGTTTTAGTGGGAATTGTTTACAATAACCAAATTATGTTGTAAGATTCTCTAATATATAGTGTTTGACATAACGTTAAAATAGAAAATAAAT